TACTGCTGAGCAGTGTGTCGCTGTGGTCCTTTCAATTCACTGAGCTCCTGTGATCCATCATCCTGTAGTGGGAAGTCGTCTCAGCTGCACATCTTAGTCTTTCTGTCTCGGCTCTTTGCTCAGCTCTCTGGTCACCGCTGTGGTCTGACTAAAAGCCTGCATTACTTCAGCTGATCCTCCTCCTCCTCCTCCTCGTTGAATCTCATAACCATTTTTATTGCCACCTGCAAAAGACACCCCGAGATACAATGGATGAAGAATTAAGTAAATAAAATCTCCACATCAGGTTTCATCACCCCTCAGAGATGAGAAGTACCCACAAAGCTCTGTTGTAATTATGTGAATAGCCTACTACAAGTGCTCTGACACACATGTGCTGCACGTGAAACACTGTGAGAGGTCCCAGGGTGAAAACAGGGCTGGTATTGACATGCTGTCATGCCGAAGCAGTTTCTGTCCTCTCCAGTGGATGACATTGAGAATCAGATAGGAGTTTCATGTCCTGCTGCAGAGCACCAGTGCACATTGATCGGCTTTAATGCAGCGAACTGCTCCCGTCTATAATCAATTCATACTCTGGTTGTCTGTGTGTGTGCATGTGTGTGTGTGTGTGTGTGAGAGAGAGAGAGAGAGATAAAACTACTCCCCCCTTACTCTAATTTATGGCTAACATTGTGCAATTCATATTAACAAAACTGTAAATACAGTATCCAAGACAAGAGTTCATGGATTTTTGGTTGTTGAATTCATTTTGTGTAAATGCAATGAAAAAACATTCCCAGTCTGGTCCACATACACCTCTGTGTCAATGACCATGAAGAGTGAAGTGACTTCAGGTTTGCAAAATTAGCACAGTGTTAATGTGTCACATGATATCTATATTTGTGTAATAGAAAAACTGGTGAGCAGCATTTCAAATGTTCAAAATGACACAAACTGAACTGTTCTACATCTTGTGGTTCTTAAACTCAAAAAGATTGCATCATTCTATAAGATATGATGCATAGATTAAATAAGCAGTCAATTAAAATGTGCTTCACTTCAACATTTAGCTGCTACTTGAATGCATCTGTAATACTGATCATTACTGTAATACTGATGAAGCTCTTTCTCTTTCTTGCTGGGAAATACACAAGAAGATTGATCCCACTCAGATTCTAAATTATGAATTACCCTCATAATCATCATTATCATGTACAAGCGTTGTTATAGCTGTGGTCAGACTACACAATATTAACCCAGTTATAGCCCGATCCAGAAGACAGGGTGTTGGGTGGGTTTGGAAGTTATCGATGGGTATCGAACATCAGAATGGATCCTATTAACTTGTGTGGTGTGTCAAACTGAACCACTGCCAACATCGAAATCTGGGACGCTTCATGACTAGAGTAGTGTTTTCTTTTTCCACCACGTGCACAGCTGAAGACATGAAGCTGCGCACAAATTAAAGAGGAATAAGAGGGGTCGCGAGCACGCCCTCGTCTCGAGCGCGTCCCTTCCTGTGATGTCACACACCTCACATCAGAAGGCTAACGCTGATCGTTCTGGGAGCAACGTGTCACGTCCGGCGTGTCTGTCATGTCTCTCAGCCACGACACAACAAGAATTTATGGGAATTTATGATCATCTCATCTGACAGTGACCTTCTTAGCAGACACAAACATTTTATAGTCTGACTCCAGCAGGAAGCAAAGTATCTGCTCGATCTATAAATGAAGCCAAAATATTTGACGTCCTACCAATGTGTCACTTTCACGTGGTTCAGCCTGTAACAGCAATGACTTGATTCGTAATGACAGTTTGTTTGTGTGAGTGTGTATGTGCCTTGAAGCGTTTGCAGTGAGAAAGGTGGGGGTTAGTATGACAGGAAAAGACACATTTAGCTTGTGAGTCACCTCACACACACACACACACACACACACACACACACACACANACACACTCATACATCAATCTGTCAGGTTTCCACACTGTCCGCTATGACAGCAACCCCTGACATTTATATGCATTGGGGACAAGACATTTTCCAGGGAACACAACAGGGAGGGGACAGGGATGGGGAAGATGAAGGGCACTGAGCTGTTATGTATGTGAGGCATTTAAATATTCTTACTCAGCAGCCACTACTCATTCTCAAGAATGTTTCATGCTCAGACACCATCATACAACAACTAGTACGTTCTGTCAGTACATTTACATGCACCAAATATTCCGGTTTTGACCTTATTTTGAAAGAGACAATTAATATTCCTACAAAGCCTCTACTGATAAAAATGATATTTGTGATGACCACTGTTTACATGCAGCTGTACAAACTGATTCACATAAAACACCTTGTCCCACGTACATTATTATAAGTGAATTTGATTATATGTTAGGATATAAAAGTTAAAAGCTGTGGTGAACTTGATCAACCTTGTAAATACGTGTTCACAACCATGCTATGGAAAAGGTTGGTGTTGAAATATTGGTGCATATCCATAAGCCTGTGGATGTCCAAGTGTTTCATCATGTTTTAAAATAGGTGTGTTTCTCCGTCTGTCCAGAAATCTGTGCTTTTTGGTGTGTGTAAAAAAGAGCTGACTGTAAACAGGCAAGTGACCATGCATATACAACCACAGTTCGAACCCAAATTGAGATGTATACATGTGTAAAACCAGAATCTTATTATTCAGAAAATTACCAATTTTTGCCAAATTTGAAAAGGCATTTTTGCATATTAACTGGCGGCTGATTTTTCAAACACTACAGCTCATGGTGAGATGTTAACAGCTCAGACAGCTGAGATAAGTCTACCTCAAAATGCTCGAACCATAGTTATGAACCATAGACATTGTTTTATTGTTAATAAAATGAATTGACGATGAAGAGAATATTAAATACATATATGGGCTTTATTTTCTCTCCATTCTATACTCTAATTGTCAGCGTTGCAGGATTGTTCATGGAGGTGTCGTCTGTTTCAGCAGCCTGGTTGGACCAGAGGGCGAGAAGTTCAGGTCATGCTTTCCTCTTAACCATGTTCCTGTTAAAAGATAATGAGCGCGCTGCAGTGAAAGTGTCTTCAGGCATGCACACTGCGGACCACACTTCAATAACACATTACAGCTACCAGTGCACTTTCTATGGCCAGCCTCAATTTATTGTCCCATTTTCAAGGCCGGGCAGCGGCACAGGAACACGGTGCCTGTGCACTCGGACATGACCAGCAGATGTTTGGGAATTTAACGGCCAGAGACAGTGGCACAGCAGCAGTAAATAAGTGGCACAGTGATGTTTGAATGAGAAATGACATCTTCGTAGTAATGTTTGAAAGTCTATCTATCTATCCATCCATCCATCTACCTATTTTTCTATCCATCTATCCATCCATCTATCTATCTATGTGCAACAATGTATATAAAATGTTCCGTCAAACTATCGGCTGTGGTTGCAGAGGTATTTCAGTCTGTACCGAGGTGGTGTAGATATTAATAACTGATATTATCCTCCCCAGAGCCAGGCGGCTGTAATTGACGCAATCAAACAATGACATTCAAGGCGACATTTGAGGCAACAGTTCACACACATCCACATAACACTGATGATTACATTCCCTGTGTACTGGTTACCTGCCTTCATGTGCACAGACATTATGCAGGACACAGGTACACAGCACAGCAGCTATTTAAGTTTCATCCGTAGCCTTAAGGGTTGTGATTCACAATTACTCATGCAACAAATATAGCCACCTTGATCTAATCTTGGATTATTTGAATCTCTTTAAAAATAGGTACACATGCGTCCTTACTGTGTTTCAGAATACATCAAATACAAGGCTGGAGACTGGTGCACACAGCAGAATTATATTAAAGTGGAATTTTTGCTGAAATATTGGCCCAACAACATATGCATATATATTTTTAGAAACAAAATACATAGCAAACACAAAGATGTTGGTATATTCAGTGTACCTGTGAGAAAGAAAAACTGTGATAATAGAGCACACTTATCCTCTGGTGAAGCCACAAGCTCAATTTCATCCATCAATCCATCCCATCATTTGTGGGATACTGGTACCAATCACAGCGACGCTCAGATTCTGATACCAGCAGCATCAGAAGCCACAAAATTACCAAGACAGACACATTTAGAGGGATAAAAGCTTGGTTTCAGTTCACAAGCTAAGTCCATGTGATTTGAAAAGGGAAGACATCTTTCTGTGATTTTAAACCTTGTGAGAAGTTATCCTGGAATCTTTCCCACCCACAGCAGGAGCAGAACATGTCTGGATTCTCAAGTTAACAGAGTGAAACGAAGCAAATGTTAGCGATGAGTTTTTATAGAATGTTAATTCGATCAGTGGGTTTGTTTTGGAGAGGAAACATGCTCTGTTAAAATGTATCGTTTTAAGAACAATAAGAAGTTGTTGGATCTTAGAGAGTCCTAATGACTTCATCGATGATTCTTTTCAAAACAAGAAAGACCTGTTTTTGATCAATAGTTGAAAAGTCTGTGTTGTATAGCTAGATAAGTAAATATAGTTTCTCACAGTTATTATGTTACATATGTTATTCTAACGTGGCGTGACAGAATTAAACAATAAATTAAAACCACATAATCCCCAAATTATACCAAAATGGTATTGAAATCAGCTTCCTCTGCAAATTCTCTTTTTTACGATGCGTGTGGGGCCTTATGAAATTCTGAGCCGACCAAATCTGGCCCTCTGGCTATTTGTTTGAGAGTGTAGAACAAAGTGCATATCATTTGCTCACAGACCATCACTCGGCTACAGCTCAGACGTTATGTCATTGTGGCGCCTACTTGTGTGTTACTCTTCTTCATTTGCTCAGTGCTGCTTTAAGTCAGAGTAATTTTATAGCTTCCTAGATTTCAGTGTCTATGCACTGCAATAAAGATCTGGCCTTTTGTTTCAGCTGCACTTTACTTTGCATACCACTAACATTCTGTGTGTCTGTTTGTGTTTGTGTGTGTGTGTGTGCTGTGGGTTCAGGATTGGCAGGATGATGAACAGGTCTGGCGGACCCCCAGGGGAGGAGCTCACAGATGAGGAAAAAGAGATCATCAACAGTGTACTGGCTCGCGCGGCCATGATGGAGGCCAAGGAGCAGCAGAGGATTGAGTGAGAGAGAGAGAGAGAGAGAACCATTGTCTCTGTTGCACAGAATCACGTCACTTGAATCACATCATGGCTGCAGATGCCCACTGAGCTGCATGATTTGTGGTGCCAAACCTGTGTCACGTTTGTGCTTACACATATCCGTGTGTTCTCAGGCGTCTCTCCAGTCGCCTGGATGATATCAAGAAAACAGCGTGCGGCGATGGACAGTCACACTGTCTGCTGTGTGGGGCGTCATTCGGATCACAGGGGGTCACAGCTGTCCTCTGCGTGCAGTGCAAGAATGTAAGTGGATATGTGTCTTATTTCTGCTTGGACAAAGAAAGTGAACAGAGACATGTTCCTAGAGACTGTAGTGAGTACAGGACCTCTGTTTACTATCTGTTCTGTAGTGTTGTGTAGATCCTAAGAGGTTTCCTATAGTGATAAGGTGCAAGTGAGCCATACACTAAATCTGTTTGTCTTATGCATCACATTCTGTTTCTTGTTGCCCTCATTAACTGCTCCTGTTAACTAAGTAGAGGTTAATGCTTTCTGAACTGTAAAAATAAACATGCTCCAAGGACTAAATCTGTGCAGGATTTTTCATATATATGTGTTTCTCACTGTATAAATGTGTGTATGTATTTGCAGCACATGTGCAGCAAATGTGGGATCTGGAGCAACAGCCGGACGTGTCCTGTGTGGCTGTGCAGAATCTGCAACGAGCACCAAGAGGTGAGGGCAGGGAGTATGTGAAGAAACAGAGGGCGTTTGATATAATCATGGGGCCACATTACACCATTATGTCATTCTTCTGCCAACCAGGAGCAGAGCTTTTCCGGTGACATGGACCATTTTCGAGCTTTTAGACTGACCTTTTAGCACAGAATTGCATTTCAAAATCCAGTGGCCTGGAAAATTACCTCTGATTGCACCTCAATATCCGAAGTGAATAATAGGTAATGATTTATTTCAACCCTTATTTAATTAATGGAAAAAATTCAGATAGTATTTTGATTATTATAGAACATGAACAAAAAGGTCTGGTTTCTGCTTTTCTTTCTGATGCAGTTACACAAGGCTGTTTTGATGATGGTGCTGTGTTGGCTGAAGTCTCTGCCGCAGGGAGTCCAGACTCTTTAAATAAATGCTCCCTCCTGTCAGTCACACACAGAATACAAAAACTTTGTAATGCTGAAAATACAAAGTGATATTTGTCTGCTCAATAACCTAAAATAATAATAATGACATGATATAACACAATAATGTAATAATTAACATAATAACTAACAAACAATTACTAAGTGATTAAACTATATATGAATTTAACACATGATCAAACACACAACTCCACGTATGAACACGAGGAAACACAACGTCTTCATTGCTCCATTTACAAGGTTGAGCGGCTTAAGTTTGAGTCTGAGTCAACACATTTTGCTCATTAGTAAATACGCACAAATAGATCAGCTCATCTCACATCTTCTCCTAAAGTTTTTATTTTCTTTGGATATTTGTTAAAGCTGCCTCAAGGGATTTTCTGGCCACTTCGAGGCAGTGGAAACAAGCTGAACACACCATTAATATATAATCACCTTTCAAGTTGATGTGCTGGATGTTGTTTACTCATCCAGCTCTTACAGAGCAACCCTATCCTTCATTTGGAGTTAGATTTGTGTTCAACTGATGAATCTACGTGGAGTTTTCATTCTCTTTAATCTCTGTTTTTGGTCTCCACCAGCTCCTAGCAGGTAAAGAGGGAAATATCTCCTGCGTTCACTGCGTTGGTATCTAACTCTGTCCATCTGCTGGTAAACAAAAAGTGGACAGTGTCTTTTTACAGCCTTTTATCTGAAAACAGCTAAACATGACGCTGATGAGGTTTGTGAAAATGAACCAAAAGATTTATCAGTTACATCATATTGTAAGGTCTCAACCTTATATTATGATTTGATGCTATGCAAGTAAAACTGAATGAAATACTTATTTCATACACTGTTATAAAATATTGATCATTGCCACTTTAAAGCTGCACAAATCAATATCTTTCGATTATGAAGTGATCAAATATGCCTGTGTGTAACAGGACAGTGATCTTAAACCCATAATTGTTATCAAATCCGATCTCTGCAGTTTCTCTTAGCTCTGTAGAACCACTGTACTCTCTACCAGCTCACCCCTCTCACCAGCTTCATCTCCGGCATTTTTCATTTGTCTAAAGGTCAGGCATTTAGGGCCTTTTATGTGTGTACACTGTTTATTCACAGAACTGTAATTGCAATGTTTAACACTGCATATAAATTGAGTAGTTTCCATTCTCATCATTCAGCAGCATATTAGTCTTGTGTGTGAATTCCCTGTGTGTTCCTGCAGGTGCACAAACGTTCCGGAGCTTGGTTCTTCAAGGGAAGAGAGCAGCAGGGTCTGCCGTCCCCACTCCGTCTGTCCGGATCTCGACAGGCCAGCACTGAGAATGATGGACCACAGGAACCTTCAACAAATTATCATCCGAGACACGGTAGCCTTTAATATTAGACTCCTGCATGCAAAAGAGAATGCGCTGAGGAAAAATATAATTCATACATTCATCAAATATTCTCATATAGGCTACATCTTCCTGCTCTCAAGTATTTGTGAAGGCTCATAGGGTATTTACTGATCCAAACGAAAAGAACTGGAGGGACTGTGCATACCCATGCATGATGTCTACAGCCCAATTAAGCAATACTAACTTTTTTATATGGTAATTATGCCATTTTATAATAATATCATTGTGACTGAATTTATCCCATATGACGAGGAATGATTGGTTAATCTAAATAATATATTCATTAAGACTATAATCTTATTGGTTACAAATGTTAAAGCATTACTTCACTATATGTAATTTTCTGACTTCGTATTGATGACATGATAACACCCATCCCACCACATGATAATTATTTAATCTACATAAGCTTTAGTTCATGTCTATACTCCTATAGAACGCAGTGATACCTCGGAAACTGCATCCCTGAACCATGTATGACACAATTTATTCATCTTAACTTATTATCTATTATTTTTAGAAATCTTGAAAATGTTTTTCAACAGCTACAAAAGTCAATTGCCTGGTGATACCTTCCCTGTTAATATTCCCGCTGAGTTTGATAAAAAATCCGCCCATGCATTAAGTTATTTAGTCCACATTCTCAAGCGCACACACACGCCACCTGCTCACAGGATACTAACTAAGACTTCTCGCAAATGCTGTGCACCGCTGTTCAGCCTTCAAACTTTTTTCAATGAGAGAGATGGAGGTCAGGTCAGAAAATAGAAGATTTGAAACCTGAAGAGCAGGTAATTCAATCTGTTCCTGTAAGGAACCACAACAGTGTAAGAAGAGCGAACAGGAAAGAAACCCACCAGAAACTGAAGACTGAAATATTTTCAGCATTTTGAGTGACAGCAGTGGAGGAAAAAAACCTAATGGGCCTTCAAAATGTCTGTTATAAGAGTGTGGTGATAGAAGTGTAAAGAGGAGGTTGTATTTCTGTAGTTTTACAAACAGTGTAGCTCCAGTGGCGGAGGTGATATTCTTATTTTGTCTCCTCAGACTTGAGCACAGAGCCGCAGCAGCAGCAGCAGCAGTCCTGTGGATCAGAACAATGGGAGCAGACAGCAAGAACAACAGCTGACAGCTATAATGAGAGTCAGCCTCGTCGAGCAGCTGTAATGAAGACAGAGGGACATGTGTTCGCCTCCAAACCACCTCGGCCAAACGCACAGCAGGCCACCGTCTCCTCAGGTAAAGCAGCAGTGCTCCTTCTAAGAACAAGCCCGATGCTTCAGGGCTGCTCTCTAAAACATTTAACATCAACATCATCATAAAAAAAAGATGTTTCAGTCAGGAACAGTGGCTGATTTTTGTGTCTTTTGGCCTGTAGCTCCCGCTGCAGATGTGGAAAACAAACGTTCAGAGAGGGACGAGACGCTATCCCTTCCAGCTGTGGAGGACAAAAGACAACCTGTTGTCTCCAGTTCCTTTTCATCTCATCTTCCTGCAGCCAGAACTATTCCACCTGTTAATCCCCCGGCAAACAATCCCACTCCCCCAAGACCAACACCAGATCGAACAGAGGATGAGGACAATGACTACGACTCGGATGATGCCAGTAGGAATGATCCCCTCCTCCCTGGTTTATTTATAGAATCAAAGTGTCCCAGATGTAACTTTTTAACTCATTTTTACCACAGTGTAAATTCCATCTTTTGTACCTGTGGGTGTGAAGGACCTTCCCAGTAGAGCAATGAAGAGTGACAAATTAATGTTCATCTGTTTTAGAGGGATATTGGTTTCTGTAAAAGGAGCCACATAAAAAGAGTCTTCCTCTCTTCTCTGATGTCTTCCTGTGTTTTTGTTCTGGCAGCTACTCTGGGGTCTCTGGAGTTCAGTCTTCTTTACGAACAGGAGAGCCACGCCCTGCACTGTTGTATCATTAAAGCTAAGGTAAACTTACCAGCACACATGAGGCATTAGACACTGGAAAAGAGAGGTCGAAATTAGATAAGACGAAACAAGATGCAACATCATGGGCAAGACGGGACAAATCAAGATGCAACACAAAAAGACAGGATGGGAGCAGTCAATACAAAACGAGTCAGGTTGGGACAAAAAAAAAGACTAGCCTGTAAAAGACAGAACAAGATGAGACAAGATGGGACAAGATAGGATGAGATAAGATGGGACAAGACAAGATGGAATAAGACAAGACGAGATGGGATAAGACAAGACGCGATGGGATAAGACAAGACTTATCGAATACCTTTATATTAGATTTGTTGTGCAGTAACACTAACACTCCATATCTGAATCATATAAACACGACATGAATGTACATCCCCCCTGAATCTTAACTTTGTTTGTCTCATGTGTCTCAGGGTTTGAAGCCGATGGACTCAAATGGACTTGCTGACCCGTATGTGAAGCTGCACCTGTTACCTGGAGCCAGTAAGGTACAATCACTGTCATTTTGGCATCAATGTGCTGATTGTGACAACTGCACAGCTCTGATTTAGATGTAAATCTGTGGTAAACAGAGCAAACTCACATATTTCACAGAACATTTTACAGCCCATATCATCAGAAATACAATGCATGCATTTTGTAAAAACAAATGTTGGTAATCCCTAAATATCCACTTGAGTTAGTAAACTATCAACATTGAATTCAAAAGATTACCAACATGAAAATGTGCTGGCTGTTTGTTCTGGGTCGGCTGTGGCTCAGGAGGCAGAGCGGGTCAACAAACCAGAAGGTTATGAAGTGTCCTTAGGCAAGATACTATCTGTGAATGTGTGAGAAATGGCCGAACTATATAAATACACACCATTTGTCAGAATCATTGGACTCTCACACCGTGTGGTCTAATGTCCTTGTCTTTGGTTTGGGAATATCTTCATTTCAAGATTTCTCTTGTGTGTGTGCATTTTCCCCCAAATATATGTATCTGCCCACTGTTTATTGGACTATTCACTAATGTTTGGTATTCATTAGAATTAGCCCGTGGATCTGGAAGTAGGTCACCATTAGTTGAAATCAATTTCTTTTTGGAAGCATTCATGATCTTTGGTGGTTATTGCCCTTGCAAAGCTTGACAAGCAATTGCACACCACCATTCTTCCATTGGCAAACTGTGCATGCACACTCACACATATCATCACTATTACAAACTATAAATCTGTGGACATTTACCCTTCTTTTAAAGATTCAGTGTTTAGAATTCAGGGGCCTCTAGTGGCGAAGTTGCAGATTGCAAACTTGTGAAAGACCCTCTCCAGAGTCAGTGTTCGGTTTGTCCATTCTGGGCTCCTGTACAAACATTTCAAAGCAACATGGTGGACCTGGAGGAGGACCTGCTCTTAATATAGATGTAAAAGCTCAATCCAAGGTAGAGCATAGTGGTGTAATATTGCATGCAGCCATCAGCTACTATTTTTGCACATTTTGTATTCAGTGTTTTACAACACAAAGCTTGTGATGAAGTTGTTGGGGGGGTGTTTATTCAATTCGGGATGATCTCAAATTGTATAATTTAGCAGTAACATATGTGCACACATGTTTTCTTGAATCCGGGCAGTTTGACATTGTGATGAACAGTTATTTCCCAGTAAAATCGATCTTGTTTCTCTCCTCATTGTCTCAGTCTAACAAGCTTCGCACCAAGACACTGAAAAACACTCTGAATCCCGTGTGGAATGAGACGCTTATCTACCACGGTATCAACAATGATGAAATGTCGCGCAAAACTCTCCGGTAAGAACAACCTTTACCTGCTTTAACTCCTTTTTGATACCAATAAAAAAAAGAAAAAGCGATTCATAGGCTGCACTGTCTGTCTTCAGGCTTTCAGTGAGTGACGAGGACAAGTTTGGACACAATGAATTCATAGGAGAGACCCGAGTTGCACTGAAGAAACTGACGTTTAACCAGAAGAAGAACTTCAGTGTTTGTTTGGAGAGAGTGATCCCGGTGAGCCAACAAATGTAGATACAGTTTGTTATTTCAGGAATCATTATTATTCGTATCAATAAGGCAACATGGTGGTGCCATGGTTTCATCGCAGCCAGAATGTTCACCTTTCAGATCCTGGCTCCTCTGTGGTCTTTCTGTGTGGAGTTTGCATGTACTCCCTTGTGTTTGCATGGGTTTTGGTTATACTCCATCTTCCTTAAGACTTAAAACAGGCACAGCAAGGAAAGAATGCTATTTATATTGTCTTTGCATTGTCTTCACTGTTTTTATTTATTTCACAATGTTCCAGTTTGTGTAACTAATGATGATGGTGCTGATGGTGATGAGTATTGCTGTTTTACTTTATGTACAGGTGAAGAAGGCTGTAGGAGGCTCAGCCCGCGGCATGGCCCTCTATGAGGAGGATGTAAGACCCTCACATACACTAGATCTCACACACGTGAATATTAAAGAAATGAAAGTATAAAAGGGAAACAACAGGTTCTGATCTGTTACAATATTTTTAATCAGTAGAAAAGACCCAAACTGACGATGAATGTATTCTACTAACAGTTATTGTGAATCCAGGGCCTGGTATATCAGATTCCTCTGCACCATAGATACAGTATATGGATGCACTGAACTGATAATGACCTTATGAAAAGATCCGGTATCTGCCAGACATGATCCACCCACATTACATTTCTCCATCAATGTCATTATAAAATAAATACATTTAGTCAAGATGGAAACTCATTTTCTATTTCTACAACAATCCCTGCTCTCATGTTACCTGAAGTAAAATGACCTCAATGAGTTCCATGCAGTTTCATATGCAGAGTTTAGTAAAAAATTTGAATTAAAAATGAATTGGTGCATTCCTTTTTCACAGAGTATAGATTGTTTTTAGATTTTTCTATATTTTTTATATTTCCTTACACTTAAGCATTACATGTTTCTTATTATTACTAACTGATGCCTATTTTTGACTGCCCTCTTGTTGCTGTACTATTGCAAATTTCCCCATTGTGGTATTAACAAATGATTATTTTAAATTATTTTATCTTTAAAATCTAAGACAGAAAGTAAAACATACAAATGTCAAAGGAGATGATTCCAAGAAACACAATTAATAGCTAGAACAGAATCAAGTAAAAGCCATTCACTCAAAGTAAGTTTTGAGTGATGACTTAAAAAGACAAATATACTATTTGGTGAAGTTCGATTTATGTTTGTAGCTGTAGTTTTAGGACATTAATCAACTTTATGTGTGAACTGTTTTTTTATGTTCAGTATGTGCTTTGAGCTGAGAAGTACAGACAGGGAGGAGGAATCTGACCAACTATCTCACATATCACACATAAAAATCATATTGTTGATTTTGGTCTTTTGATTTGATTGAATGATTAATGACAAAATATGTAAACACACCAGCCCAGTCCTGTAAAAATAAAAAAAGAGGAATAATTAGAAAAATGGAAAAGAAACCTGTCTACTTTTATGTTGATTCACCTGTAGAATGTACAAGTATTTAATCCTACTGCATAAAATACATTTAAGCATGTGCATTATCATGCATTAGCACAGTTTAATCCCTCCAGATATGTGCACATAGAAGGAAAAGTGCTATTGCAATTATGTACTTCTACTTTATGTGTTTGTACATCATTTATAATGTGTGTGTGTGTGTGTGTGTGTGTGTGTGTGTGTGTGTGTGTGTGTGTGTGTTCAGCTGAATGAAGGGGACGATTCAGAGGAAAGAGGTCGTATCATGGTATCACTGATGTACAACAGTCAGCAGGGTCGTCTTGTAGTGGGCGTGGTCCGCTGTGCTCATCTGGCGGCCATGGACTCCAACGGATACTCTGACCCCTTCGTCAAAATGTATGTTCTCCATTCGGTAACATCTTCCTAAACCTCAGTATACAGATCAGCTCTTATGAAGACTAAAAGCTGTGGTACAATGGTCACTAGCTTCAGGTACACTTTGTATTTAATGTGTGGACGTGAGAGTTGTCGCTCTTCTCTAGAATACAAATAAGCCCATTTCCTGAACTTGAAACGGTTCCTCTAAGTATTCATAGATTTCTGAGGTGTCACTTTATCTCTTTCTTGGTCTTTTGTGCTGTAGATGTCTAAAGCCAGACATGGGAAAGAAAGCTAAAAACAAGACGCAGATAAAAAAGAAGACCCTCAATCCAGAATTTAATGAGGTCAGTACTTGCTCCTGTACTTTTTTTTTTTGTTACACTTACTCTACATTGTTGTCTTCTCTTTGCCCACTGTCCAGTCATAGATTGTGTAATAAATTCATCAGTGTTTTTTTAGGAATTCAGTTATGAAATAAAGCACGGGGACCTTGCCAAGAAAACCCTGGACATCTCAGTCTGGGACTATGACATGGGCAAATCCAATGATTTCATTGGTAAGTGTGGACATTTGTTTGAAATCCTATTCCCCCATCCAGCTAGTCATTTCTAGACTTGCGTGAAGCATTGATAGACATGAAATAGTCTATTGGTTAATTCAGTCCCTTTGGTCCAGACTGAAATATCTTAACAACTATTACATGAAAAAATGTTCATGAAAAACATAGACCTACTTTGTGAGGCGTCTGTGACCTTGACCTCGGGCTTCCAAAATTAAAGTGAATGTGTTCCAGAGATATCACCTCCACAAGGCAAAAAATCCGCTTTGTGAAGTCACTGTGACCTTTGACCACCAAAATCTAATCAGTTCATCTTTGAGTTCAAGTGATTATTTGAAATTTGAGAAATATTTCCTCAAGATATCACAGGAATAGGACTAACATGACTCTACGTGATCTGACATTTTCCTCATCTCTAAAAAAGCAGCAACATGTTAAAAAGGGATATTGTGATTACTCTTTGGTAAATGTAATATTACGCTGAATGATTTGATCATTGCCAACATGATTTCTGCAGTTGTCGTAAATATTTCAACCAATCACATCCATAGACCTGAGGATTGTGGGTAGTGTAGTACTGTAGCATTGTTTTCAAACTTACAGTAAATCTACCTTGGATGGTTACAACATTATGGCTGATTATCAAAATCTTTTTTCAGAATATGAATTGGATTTTTACTTCTAGAACCTCGCTGTTGAGCTCTGTTAGATAATGTTAGCTAAATGATAATATGTTAACTTACAAGGGAAACATCATGTCTACCAATCATCACCACATTTGCATTGTCTTTGTGACCATGTTCGCATGTCGATAAGCTTTTGCCTCATAAGATGTCTGCATCGCAGGGCTGCTAGCATGCGTGTGATTTTTTAATGTTGTAAACATATTAATGGGCACTCTTCTCTCTTCAGGAGGATGTCAGTTAGGCATCCAGGCTAAAGGAGAGTGTCTGAAGCACTGGTACGACTGCCTCAAGAACAAAGACAAGAAGATTGAGTGCTGGCATGTTCTGTTAAATGACAACACTGTTCACTTTGAGGATTAAAACAACATCTCCTCTCCATATATGTATTGTCTTTGTCTCTCTCATTCTCCCCGTAGAATATAGTCCTCCTATGAGCACATACTTCTATTTGGATTGTCCAAAAGTGCAATGTACAAGCGACATTTCCAGCAGTTATCAGGTGACTATCATGGATGTTGTCCCTGAGTGACCAGTAATCAAAACCAGGAAGCTGTAATTTGACCATATTCACTGATATCACACTCAATCTGGATGCAGAAATGATTGAAGAGCGATTAACGTGTTTTATGGAGACAAAAACCCCGTTGTTATCATTGTCTTTGAGATAACGTGTACCGCCAAGTTCAAACCCAACTAAGGGAATTCCCACTTTTCTGTCTCTAACCTCTTTCCCATGTGATTAGTGCTCTTGTCATATGGGATCATGTTGCGTGTCATCAGCTGATCTATGTGACCACGTCGCTCAAGTGCTTGCATCACCGAAACATGCATTTATCTTGTGTTACCATGAATAACTATCATGCATTGTGCAAATGTTAAGTGAACGGACTCTCTCTTGTTGTTGATGTGTTATGCTTTTGACACAGATAAAATATTGGTCTCATTCATCACCGACATGACAGTATCTTCTCCTGTGCATGTGTGAGCTTTCTGTCTTTCTACTGCAGAAATTAAAAAAAACAAACAAATGATTCTGCATGACATCTTATTATGAAGATCAAATTCAAGTACGCAACGTAAGCACAGTTCCTGGGATCTCATGAAATATATTGGGATCCCCACAGATATATTCAATGGATGTATTCTGATGCCATACAAATTCCACATTTGTCCTCTGTATTCATATTGATGCATGTCCAATAAATAAAAAAAAACACTGCGGCACTTCCTTTGCTCCTCTGTTTGTTTGATACGTGTTGTGTGACATGGAAGAAACTTTGTCTGCATCAGGTGAGGTTTGAACAAGTCCGCTCACACAGACACGCTGACAGTTTTGTGAACTTTGACTTCTCCTGATAATACTTCTCTAGTGCCAAGTGGGTAAAAGTTTACACTATGAATAGTGTATGCCTGAATTTAATCTCCGACACAATCTTTCTCTCCCCATCATGAGATAATAAAACCCAAACATTTACATTTGACCAAAAAAGGCCAAACAAGTGATTTGACCCAAGAATTCCAGATGGAAGAACAAAAAGCAAGACAGGCGTGTAATGTGTAACATTATGCAATGTGTTGTATCTTCAGGAAGGTAAAACTCATGTGTGTACCCCAGTATATTCAGAGAATGGGTTAGAAATATACTCGAAGTGACGTTACAGGAAGAAGACAGGAGGAAAGAAAGACACACAAAATGTTCATGAAATTGTGGACAGCTTGAACCGCTCACACCTCATGTCCAAATAGAGGCTATTAATTGCGATTAGGGATCAGGGTGTGTGTGTCTGTGTGTGTGTGTGGGGGGGGGTGGTAGAAGCTGCACACTGTTTACATTTCAACAGATCAACAGTTCTTTCTCTTTAATCCGTGTGCTTGTTGTAGGGAGAAGGCACCAATGAAAACAAGAGCAAGTAGAAAGTAGTAGGTGGTTTATCTCATGTCATTTTATCAATCAATGTTAATTGATTACTTTGTCACATTGTCACTGGGGTGTCTATGCACTGTGGGTTGTGTGTGTTGGTGGCCAGCCAATCGTTCATCGATATACTAGTCACATTTTCAGACTGATAAACCATCTGGTGTGTGTGTGTGTGTGTGTTAATCAATATGTCATGTATCAGTGTCACTGTGGAAGTGTGAATGGGAGAGAGAGACAGAGAGAGAGAGAGGGGGAGAGAGAGAGAGATGGGACTCCTCTGACAGGTCACATGATCCAGTGTGGTTTAGTTTACTTTGGATGCACCAGATCAGCCCTCACGCCTCCTCCCCGCCTCATTTAAACCCGACCTGGAGTCTGTTCCTCTGCCATAAGTTCGCCAGAGAGTGCGGCGACCATCTGTTCCGGACCTGAAGCCTCTCAGCATCGCTCACTCCGCCTCCGGTCAACGCGGCCACCATGACTCGCATCTCTGCTCTGGTCTTCCTAACGTCATCCCTCCTGCTGTGGTCGTCTGCGCAAGCCTCGCTCCTCTGCGTCTGGACCAAAGTTTTGCCGAACGATGAAGTGCACCGCAGCTTCCTCCGGCAGGACTCTGCATCTCTGCGGCTGTACCACAGCGCCTGGTCCGGCGCGCGCACTCTGCTCGGCTGCGCTTGGAGCGATGACGCATCTGTGATCCAGAACTACTTGTCTCTGTGCGAGGAGCGAACGCACGACTTCACCGACCACCCGGATCCAAATGTGCGTTTAAACTCCGTGTCCGAGGAGCGGTGCGTCCCTCTGGATTCTCCAGGGGTGGAAGGACTGGGGTGGCCCTCAGTGAACAGGCCGGTGGGCAGCGATGATGGTCTCCCCGAGGCTGAGAGTAATCAGGGTCGACATGAGAGGTCAGAGGTCAGGACCCATGCGCGTGTGAAGCGAGGTTTCATTGTACCTGGGACCCTCTGGTGCGGCTCTGGAAACAAGGCGCTGTCATATGCTGACCTGGGTACGTTTTCTTCATTTCTACAAATTACCAATTTATATACATGTTGTGTGGAGACTAAAGCGTGATCCTATATGACTAAAGGTATTTTCTAAGGTCCCACAAAAGTTTGTCTGCAGTAAGTATGTCTGCTTAATATCCGAATATGTGGGCAGTAGGTTAAAGGTCCAGTGTGTAAGATTTAGGTGAAAGGGATCTATTGGCAATAATTTAATGTAGAATAATCCTCATGATGTTTTCACTAGTTTGTATGAATTGTAGTTTTCTTTACCCCAGAAAAGATCCTTTATATTTAAATACTTTATATTTACATCGAGGGGGTCCTCTCTACAGAGGCCACCATGTTTTTAACATTAGTCCAGACTGAACAAACTAAACACCTTTTGAGTTTTTATAACAACTGAAGGCTACCGCAGGTTCTCTATTATGTTTGGAAGGAGAGGGTGAGGTGAGGGGTGTTCAGCTGCAACATGCAATTTCAACACTAGATATCACAAAATTCTACACACTGAACCTTTAAGTTATAATATAAGTCTTAGGAGGGAAACACACTGGTCCCTCGGAAGTGTTCCTTAAATGGAAAACAACTCATTTAGCTTGTCTGCCCATAAAATTGTGACATTTGGCACAACCTCTAAAGCCAAGTCTTGATCTAGATGAGTTACCTGCCAGGTGACATCAGTTCACTCATGATAAAACGTCACACTGTGATTTAGGGGCAGTCTGCAGGACTGCTGACTATTACTACTGTAAAACAATCAGTTATCAAGATCAAATTTCGATCTTTTCTGTACTTTATCTAGACAAGATGTATTTGTAAAGTTTGATTTCTGCATGAGTGAGAAACTGATGCTTGAAGATGCTGTATTTTCATTGACTGCAATATGTGACATGAGGATTAATGTCCAAATATTTCATACATTTTGTTGTTCTGAAATTGTTCACATTGCATCTACCAAAAATGAGAATTCTGTCATTAATTTTTGTGAATATTGGACATTTATTTAGCAAGAGTTTCCAGTATTTGTTTATGTAATTATATGTATATGTTATTTTTGATCAATCAAAGTGGAGCAAGTTTGGTGTCGATTGATCGACAGTTGTTTGAGTAGATTCATGCATGGGAAGGTGGATTTCCTTAGAATAACATTGAGAAAAACAAGAGGGACCAGCAGCACAGCAGCCCAACCCCTAATATTAAGTTAAATGGTTGTAGGTAAAGTGGCAGAAACAAGGAAACTAAAGACACAAGGCATGCAGCAGCTGCTGGTGTGTATAGAATGAGCTGGAGATGGGCAGATCTCAGGTGACAATCAGTTGAGGTGAAAAGAAGGGTAACTCTCACGACATCTGGTGGACAGCCAGAGGAAAGCAGGTCTGGAGGAAAGAATGTGGCCTGAGAGAAGAGAGCTGGGGCTGAAGAGCGGGGGAGATGAGGAACAGACTGTGATCATAGACTATATACAAATCATAAATCTAAATTAAAAATGAAGCTAAAACATCCAGGATAGAGGTGCTGCCATCTTGCACAGATGCAGTCGTACTTGCGTGGAGCTGCGGTATCGATGTCCTGCTGATACTCATGCTCGACCAATGGAGAGTCAGTTGCAGCCGTCAGTTATGACATTTCAACAAATTACTAATTAAAACAAAAGTTAGCATACTTAAGAGCTGAATTGACAGAAACCCTCTTTGAGAAACAATTGTCAGTATTTTTACTTTTTAGTTTGGTTTATTTCCCATGTGCTAGTATGAAAGAGGCGGGGTTTATGACATCTATACCGTAGCCTGCCACCAGGAGTGACCAAGACATTTTGGCTTCACTTTTGGGAAGTACTCATGTCATCCATCATTATAGTATAATGTATATTATACAGTCTGTACACCTGTCAATCAGTGATTGTATGTATGACAACTTCGCATCATCTACGTCAAAAAGTAAGAAGGCACTGATCGGTAGTTTTTCTGGTGAACAAAAATGTATTCTTAGACCAGATGAAGCTCTTTCAGAACCTTTGGAGAAATGATACGACTGTTTTCAAGGGTTGAGTCACACTCCTGATGACATTGATGTGTATATTGAGCTGTGTCTCCCTTTAACTCACAGATCAAATGTTTTCTTTTTGCTTCAGTTGCTCTCAAACACTTGACATGACTCAAGATGCATCGATTTCTCTTTATTGTCACTGAACTGTAAAATATTGTAATATTCTTTTCACCCCTGCTCAGTCCCTCTTGCTTTGTCTTCTGCAGGAGTTTTTGCGGACACAGACAGCTGCTGCCGGGAGCACGACCAGTGCAAAAACACCATCCTGTCCTTTCATTCGGAGTTTGGTGTCTTCAACAGCAACATCTTTACCATGTCTCACTGTGACTGTGACAACAAGTAGGTTTGACTATCACTGCACATCCAGTCCGAATCAGTCGATTTCTTGTATGTGCGTTCTTTCACGTTTCTAATAAAGCACCCAACATGTTTCACGTTACAGGTTTCGAAATTGTTTGAAGGAGGCGAATGACAGCATATCTGATGTGGTGGGATACACCTTCTTTAACCTGCTGAAGATGCACTGCTTTGAGTTCTCCCATCGACTCCAATGTATGCAGAGAAACTGGTTTGGAATGTAAGTAAATTATTCAGGAATTATTCAATACTTTGGTTTATGATCAAATACCTGAAAAAAACTATATTCCATCAGCTTCAGTTGTGTTGTGTATTTACAGTTGAACTAAGATGGTGAACACTGTAAATGTTTTGCCATCATTGGGACTGTCTTCATCTCAAAGCTCTGCTGTCATGTCGTATCTGCACAGAGAGTTACTAACATGGCTAAGTTTCAGTTTATATCAGAATAATTAACAATATCAACTCTGAAGATGCCAGGTTGCATAGCTTAGTATCAGGACTGTAGTTTTTTGTTAAAATTAAACAAACCACCTATTAACTGGTGAAAATTGGAGGTGCTGGTGAGGGACAGTGTGAGGTCAACTGCTTTCAATGCTTCTTGTCGATGTGCGTGGTTAGGCACACAGACTGTTATCGATTGAACCAACACACGAGTTTGGGATTGACCTTCTTCTCTCACTCTCTGTAAAAAAGCATGTATTGTAGCTTCAAATGACTTCAACCTCTGTTGCAATTTACAGGTGTAAAGAGACTAAAATGGCTTTGTATGCTGAGGTCCACCCCCCCACCCTGTACGAGTCTACCACTCCAACAGAGGCCGGCATGAACAGCACCAGCGTCGACACCACCGCTCCTGCAGAGTTCCCAGAGAGCAGCACCTCACACCCACAACTTTTCTCCATCACTGCTGCCGCATCCACAGTCCCTACACCTTCAACAAGGTCCCCCTCCACCTCCGTCACTACCAATGTCACCACCTCCATAGTCACAACCATATCAGAGACACCTACTGGGTCAGTACCTGAGAGTAGAAACAGTCTGAGCACGCAACCCATCCTAACCCAAGCTGTGACTGAGCTGGACGCTGATATCACAGGTATTCAATGTCGCACAAGTTTCTCCAGCTCTTCAGTTTATGTCTTTACACAACAGTTAAGGAATTCCTGCTTCACATCCACAGGAATGCAACTGTCGTGTGGTGTCTATAAGGATCTCGATGAGTGCAGACACAAGATCCTTCCCCAGCAGATGAAATATGGCATCCACAACCCAGAGCCCAGGACGCTGTACCACTGCAACTGTACCAAAAGGTAAATCAACAATTTCCAAGTAATAAATATCAGACAAAAATTTGATTTTGCAAAAAACTTAACACAGTTTATCGACTAAATCATCATATAAAGAGTTGGGGATGTGTCACACCATGTCTGGATTACACACATTCATTTAACCCCCAGAGTAAATAATATGAGTGCTATTTTCAGAGCATGTTTAGACTTTGTGACCTTCTTTTCTGTGTATACCAAGAAATACGAGGCAGACACGGTGTGGTGTTTCATAACACAGAAGTAGGCCACATCAGTGTACTCATATGAGACACACTGTTGCATAAGATGTACCGGTTTTCTAAATCTGCCCAAAAATTTTGTGTCCTTGGCTATGATCAATATCTCATGTTTGCACTTCTGTTTTTCCTTCGACAGTCTGTCCATCTGCTGTATTTATGTTCCTTTTTTTGTTTGGCATGTCTTTTGGTCTCTGACGTTTGTTTTGTCTTGCTGTTCTTTCAGATTATTCCAGACTTTGGTTAAACAGACACAACTGACCGAAGTACAGTCTCTTCTGCTCATACATGTGTCTCGAGCTTGCTTCCTCCCACAGGACTGCACTACGGGCAAAACGTCAGTACACAATCTCACAGATACTGTAGATTTATCCTCAAAACATAAAAAGAACTGACAGACTGCAGGGTTTATAAGTCCTGTAATTAAAACTCAATTTAAATAAAGGTCAGGCCCCTTAAAAGGCTCAACAGTAACTAGAGAGAGTGATATTAGATGTATAAAGCAGCATTAAATGGATGTACTGTACTGAAGTTGTTGTAGCATCACCATTATTGCTTCTTTCTTTTACAGCTGCTCAGCAGTTCTCTTGAAGGCAGACCTTCCTCAGCTCGATCAGAGGAGCGGTGGAGAGGTGGAGGAGCAGCGCCTTCTACAGGCAGTGCAACTGAAGGTCAGGAGGCCAAACACCAGGAGAGCTAAAAGAAAAGACCGAGCTGTGAAGCTTCACAGACTGTGTCTCAGGATGACTCGGCCCAAACAAATGAACAAGAGCAGGAAACATGGTCAAAATGCTCAGCGGCCAGCTGTAGGAGGGAGAGAGATTGTGTGAGAGGGAATATTAAGGAGACCCAAAGCTTTTGATACTGAATAAGAACATAAGACATCATGAAGTAACCCTATGAATAAATACATACCAAATATACATACAACCATGGAACTTTGAAATGTTTATTATAGGTCATTTTTTATCTCACAGCATAAATGATCTTGTTACTTGTCCTTCATGATTGCTCTTCAAATGGGACAGAGCCAGTAAGGTGATTAGCAGTTTTGGTTTGAATGGTCGGACAAACAAAGGCAGATATAATTCGATGTTATTGAACCAACAAAACACAGCATTCCCAAAGTTAAAGTAAGGGGAACTAATTTCCAACATGGTCCCAAGATCTATACAGAAAATGTGACAACAGACTCTGGAAAAGGATTATAAATCTAACAAACAAAATTCTTGCAATTAACTTTATTATAATAAAAAGCGGCAGGGCGGAATATCACTTCATCCTGATTCACAGCTTTGCCCTGATTATTACACAACTTCATGGTGTTGTGACATATTTTATGTACATTAATTCATATGATCCTTTATAATCCTAACACGCTTTAACTGCACTGCACATGCCAATCCCAGTTGACACTTTGCAGGACACATGGGTCATCCTGTACAGAATGTCAGGATATTACAGGGTTGACAAATAGAGACAACCGACCCTTTTAACTCATAGTCACGACAAAAGTGGATCAATCAAACCCACCCAGGCACAGGGTGAACATACCAACTCCACACAGGAAGGCCTCATTAATGTCTTATTTATTAATCAGTTTGGGTCCCCAGTTTATATTGTAGTATTTTTTATTTACATTGTATCATCAGGGATTAAGTGAAACATAGCTTTCAAGAATAATACTATTGGCATTACATAGCAGCAAAAGCAAATACACCTATAGGTGTAACTAATGACATTTGTTAAAACGGCATTGAATTGATTTGTGACTATTCAAATTCCCCTTTAGCCACCAATGAGGATACTGAGGTAATCTATTACTTCTTGGAGTGTTTGTTCTTAACAGCTATAAAGTGTAAATATGCGTCTAGTTTAAATTAAACTATAGTTTTTAGTATTTCCCCATATGATGTACTTGGACAGAAACAATACAACCTAATAGTTAAATGAGTAAATATAAAGCTTTTCATATAATGACTCACACTCACACCGTCAACATTTCTTATATTGAAGTCAGCTCCTGTTACATGTAAATGTTTTCACTGTATTATTTGAGTTGTCTACTGATGCAAAATATGTTGTTGGCACCATAATGAAAAAGGAAAGTGTACAGGGGAACAAGTATGTAAATATCTGTACATAATGTGAGAAGAAAATGTATGACTGAATGATTTAAATGAAGAATCCATTTTTAATAATGCTTTCATTACTTTTTTGTAAGAAGACTTTCTTAGATGAGAAGATTGACACTATTCTTATTCAAAACATACTAAATGAGAGTGAGCGGCGGTAAGTTTAGCTTAGCTTAGCATAAAGGCTGGAAAGAAGTGGAAACAGCTAGCCTGGCAGTGGTCATAAGCAAGAAAATCGAACCAATTATATCTTATTTATTTAGTTCATACAAAAACTGGAGTTTTCAGGGCAGACTTTATAGCAGAGACTCAAAACCATAGACTGTATTCAGCGATCAGAGGATGAAGCCAGTTATAACATCAAATATCTAATTCAAACCAAACTTACCATAATATGAGCACTTGGATATACATCAGTGTGTCAAGAACTACCTACAATGACACAATATTTGATTTGACGTTTGTTTTAAATTTTGATTGTCGGAGCGGGGATTTATGACCTATACTGCAGCCAGCCACCAGGGGGCTATTCAGACGCTTTGGCTTCATTTTTGGAAAGCAGTCACGTCGTCCATCTTCATATACAGTCAGACTTGGTTGGCTGGCCGGGGCTAGCTGGTTAGCATGCTAACTTCGGCAGAAGATAAGCAAAAGAGAGCTAACATTAGAAATAAAGTCGATGAATAAATAAAGTAATGGATTTTGATGCTGAATCCCCAGTGAGCGAGTCGATTAAACAAACAACTGTTGTAGCTATAGCAAAAACCTACATATAGCACCTTTAATAGATATGATATGAGAGTTATATCAAATTTTCCAACTATGAAAGTGACTTTGCACCAGGGTTATTATAGTTAAAGAAAACTAAGACTAAAACTAAAACTAGCAATGAAAAAAGAATTAAGTTAACTGAAATAAAAATAAATAAAAACTACGATGAACAATGCAAAACTAACTAAAACTAAACTGAATTGCAGATAAATTCAGCTTCGTTGTTGTTTCGTTTTCTCCCTCGATTGGTGCCTGTCCTGCAGGTGATGGTTAAAGAATGAAATTAAAGAACTTGATAAACCATATATAGGGTGTCACACATTGTTTCATCCTTTTTCAGCTTCTATAAGTCAAGGCTTTCTCTTAATACCCGGAAAAACTAAAACTAAGACTAAATCTCAATAAAAACTAAACTGAAACTTGTTGATTCCTCAAAAATAAACTACTAAACTAAAACTACAAAATCACTGGTTGAACAAACTAAAACTAAACTGAAATAAAGAAGCAAACTGAAAAACTAAATCAAAATAAACTAAACTAATGAAAATGTCAAAGCTATAATAACCTTGCTTTGCACGTGTGAAATGAAAATGTACAAACTTTAAAAACACATTCATGATGTTTGCTTCCTGCTGTTTAGACCACAACCGTGAACTGTGTTTGATTATTTATTGTTTTGTTGGTTTATCCAAATAAAACGTAAAGAAAAGACAGATGCATTTCATTATTGAGTGTGCAGACTGTGATGTGCACAGTGAGGCTGCAGTACTGACGATCTGTCAGGTAACTCTACTCCTCTCTGATGTCATGATGGTGTAATTGAAACCTGAGGGCTGGAGGCTGCAGCCGTGGAGCCGGACCGGATCCCCGCCTCTCACCGGACTAACATTCCGCCAAGGAGAGCAGATCGTCTGTGGGAACATGGCGCACTTACTCTGGATTAACTTTCCCCGGGAAGGAAAGCTCCGCAGGGTCGTCACGTAGCGCACACGTCTCCTCATCTTAACTTTATCTGCGAGTGAACCGCGCAGCAGACGGGGAACTTTCGCGTTGTTGTGGATGGTGGCGGAGAGATTTCCTGTCCCCGCTTCCCGGTTAGCGGCTGTGGGATGAAAGTTTGGAGCCGCTGTCGCCGGAATTAGCAGCGATGGAAAAGCAAAGGACGAGGAAAGAGAAGGTAAGACCCCTGGAAACGAGGGGGTTTATTCAGCTAGGGGGGGTCTAGACAGACGGCACGGCGCGGTGTCTGGGTGTCAAGCGTGTGAAGAAAGGGGGCTCCAACACTGACAGTCCACAGACACACGGGCTGCTCGCCATCCTGCAGGATCCATCTGAAAACCAGTTCACACCGAGCTGCCATCTGACTGCTGCCAGGCTGCATGGAGTCCCTGCCATGCCGCTTCCCAGGCTCCACTCCTAAACCCCTCAGTCTGTGGATGTCACCGAGCTGAGTGGATCTGTGACCTGTTGACTTTAGAGTCAGGGAAGCACAAGCTAAAAGAACGCAGGTATCACTAGAGCTGCAGAGCAACAGGAACCAGTGTTCCGAGGCTAATCCATGTGCATGATCATTCACCAACAAAGGGAACTGCTTCAACAGAGTCAAGAAGACATTAACACAGAATATAGAGGAGACACAAGTAAAGTAAAGAAACTCAAACAAATAGGATGAGTAAAATATTATAGAATTTAAAGGGATAGTTCACCCAATAATGAAAATTCACTCCTTATCCACTCACCACTCTGCTGATGGAGGGGTGGGTGAAGTGTTTGAGTCCACATAACACTTTAGGAGTTTCAATTTAATGCATTCTGATCAAATTGAAGTAAATGGTGACCACTTCTTCAACCGTAGTAAAACAACAGAAAAAAAAAACATAAAATGGATCCATATTGCTATTGTGGTGTCACCCAGGTGTCGATAAGCCCGAATTGAATTGAAATGTGTCATTTACACCATGTTTTCAGTCTAAATGTCACGTGAATGTGGCTCTGAAGGAGGATAACAGCAGAATAGTGGTGAGTAGATAATGAGTGAATTTTCATTTTTAAGTGAACTACCCCTTTAAAGATACTCAGTTATAGTAGAGAGCAAAGTAATGGGACAGAATATAATTTAATATATAGCAGAGACCACAGGATACCACAACAGGAGAGTTGGAAGTCTGGATTTAAAAGCGGATAGAGTTGGAGATTTAATTCCAGAAAAATGAGTAATCAAAACCTAGAAACAACTTATTGAAGGTCAAATAAAGTCAGCGCTACAGCAAAAAAACGACATTATGAAAGCACTTCTGCAACAGTTTAGGAATTGATTTCAACATGGATTCTTTTTAGAGCTAGACTGATAAATCAGCAGGGCAGATTTAAGTTTTATATCGATTTAACAGTGTTGGTGTCACTGTTGAACGAGTTTCAGTGATAACCCTAAAATAGTTGGTCTACCTGGGAGCGAGGTGACTTCATGCTTTGTACTGTAAAATGTCAGTTTGTATCTTAGTCATAATTCCTTACAAATTAAATATCAAGATCTGTATCAAGATTATTCGTTCATGTTAAAAATACGCAATTTTTTTCTATCAGCATTGACCCCAAAAATGTGGTCTCAGTTGAGATATGTGTTGTGACAATTTGTAAGAAAGGTCAGTGTAGAAAAATGCACGTCTGAGATCATTTAGAAATGGTGTCTCTGGACATGGAACCAGTAACAACTGCCAACAAATTGAATTGTCTTTTTTCCAAATTGTGTTTCAATCCAAAACCTTTCTCCAATGTGAACACTGAGCAGTATTCTAACTTTAAATAATTTTAAAAACAACAACAAGAACATTTTGCTGTCTTTGGCTGTGGGTCATTATAATGGTTACTCTTCCCTTCTTACATTTGTGAAACTGAAAGATTCATCAGTTTATGAAGGAAAATAATCAGCAGATGACTCACCTCTGCCAAGGAATTAGTTTTTTCGGCCCTGTCTGTCTGTTTATTGGTTTGTTTGTTCCGTCTTCAGCAGGATTACACTAAAACTACTGAACAGATTTCAATGAAACTTGTAGGAAGGATGGCTCTGCTGATTAACTGGAAGGGTGATCGGAGAGCGTATACATCCGCCGATGTTAAAGCCCTATCTCAACATGTTAAAGAAAGTGAAAAGGTCTGTCCCTTTATTTCGCTATACTCCAAATTTGAATGGGTTCATGACCCACCACTCCACATAAGGTCATTGAAATCAGGTCAGTATTTTTTGCGTAATCCTTTAAACTAACAAACATACA